CCCCAGAGGGGGGCCCCCCAGCAGACGGGGGGGCCCCCGGGGGGGCCCCCAGGGGACTTCCAAATAAGTTTAAAGGGGAAGACCCTTCGTGGTGAGGTGACCCTAGAAAAGAAGAAGATAATAAGTTTCCTAAGAAGTCGCCTTCCTGAAAGCAAACAGCAGCAGCAGCAGCAGCAGTAGCAGCAGCAGCGGGAAGTAGAGGGGCAGCAGCAGCAGCAAGCAGAGCAGCAGCAGCAGCAGCGGGTCGAACAGCGTCACCAGCAACAGCAAGTAGAGCAGCAGCAGCCAGTGTAAAAGCAGCAGAAAGTAGGGAGACAGAAACAGCAGCAGCAGCAGCAGCAGCAAGTAAAGATGCAGCGCCAGGAAAGGCAGCAGCAGCCTGCAACACAGCAGCAACAGCAGCAGCAGCAGCAGCAGCAGCAGCAGCAGCAGCAAAACTTACAGCAGGAGTTGAAGGGGCCCCCCAAGTGGGAACCCCAGAAAAGAGGGCGAGGGCCCACAGAAGCGAAGGGCCTCGGGTCATCTTGGGGTTAACCCAAACCCTAAACCCTAAACCCTAAACCCTAAACCCTAAACCCTAAGCTTTAAACCCTAGACTTCAATTCCCAGGCCCAAAACCCTAAATTCAAACTGAAGCCAAATTCATGTGGGGCCGCTGGCAGCATTTAGCCCTCCTGGTGTCTCTCAAACCCAAGCCGAAAACCCCAAACCCTAAACCCTAAACCCTAAACCTTTAACCCTAAACCCTAGGACCTAGCGGCATTTGCTCCCAGTTTCAAGAGTGAATATACACCGCAGTGCCCAGTCCAAAGGTCTTCAAGCAAAAAGCGAAAAAACAATTTAGCTTTAAGCTCTAAAAGTTAAAACCCTAAACCCTAAACCCTAAACCCTAAACACTTGCGTCTCCGTCTCCCGCGGCGACCAGCAGCGCAGCAGCGCAGCAGCAGCCAGTTGTTTAGAAGCAGCGAGCAAATTAATAGGAATAAAACAGCAAAAAATGAATTTTTCATCTCTAGGGTTTAGGGTTTAGGGTTTAGGGTTTAGGGTTTACGGTTTAGGGCTGCGGTGCTGAGAGCAGCGGTGAGCGACGGCCGGAGCTAACTCGAGGTCACTTCACCCTAAACCCTAAACCCTAAACCCTAAACCCTAAACCCTAAACCCTGAAAATTGAATTAGAAATCACACCATAAAAAATTGGGTAAAGACTTTTTGCTTGAGTTTCATCGAGGGGTTTGGGGTTTGGGGTTTAGCGTTTAGGGTTTAGGGTTTAGGGTTTAAAGCGACGCTAAGGAAGTCGCTCTCTTTGTCCTCATCCCGGCGTTCATTTATTTTTAAAAATAATTTAGATAATTCAACTTAATTTAATTTAATTTAATTCGAAAAT